AGGATTTATTATTGCCATCTTGTTAATTGCTATCTCTCTGTCACGTAGTTCCTCTCTTCTTTTCTTTCTCTCTTGCTGTCTTCCTTTGTGAATTCAGTTTAGTTTCTTCCTTTATGAATTGATGATTTTCCTTAGTGGTATACAGACATACCACATTTTCTTGTGTTTTGCTTTATTGCACTTTGTGGATATTGCTTTTTTTTACAAATTGAAGATTTGTGGTGACCCTCCATCAAGTAAGTCTATTGGCTCTATTTTTCCAACAGCATTTGCTCACTTTGTGTTTCTGTGTCATATTTTGATAATTCTCTCAATATTTCAAACTTTTTCATTATTATTATTATTATATTTGTTGTGGTGATCTGTGACCAGTGATCTTTGATGTTGCTATTGTAACTGTTTTGTGGTACCACAAGCTGCACCCATATAAGACAGCAAATTTAATTGATAAATGTTATATGTTCTGACTGCTCCACCAACCAGCTGTTCCCCTGTCTCTCTCCCTTTCCTCCAGCCTCCCTATTCCCTGAGACACAACAATATTGAAATTAGGCAAATTAATAATCCTACAGTGGTCTCTAAGTGTTCAAGTGAAAGGAAGAGTTTCTCATTTGTCACTTTAAATCAAAAACTAAAAATGATGAAGCTTAATGAGGAAGGTATGTTAAAAGCTGAAATAGGCCAAAAGCTAGGCATCTTGCACCACAGTTAGCCAAGTTGTGAATACAAAGGAAAAGTTTTTGAAGGAAATTAAAGTGCTACTTTAGTGAATACATGAATGATAAGAAAGAGAAGTAGCCTTATTGCTGATATGGAGAAAGTTTTAGTGATCTGGATAGAAGATCAAACCAGCCACAACACTCTTAAGTCAAAGCCTAATCCCAAGCAAGGCTTCAGCCCTGGCCAGGTAGCTCAGTTGGTTAGAGCATTGTCCCAATACGCTAAGGTTGCAGATTTGATCCTTGGTCAGGGCACATACAAGAATCAGCTAATGAGTGCATAAAAAAGTAGACCAAGCAAGGCTTCAATTCTATGAAGGCTGAAAGAGGTGAAAGCTGCAGAAAAAAAGTTTGAAGCTAGCAGAGGTTGGTTTATGAGATTTAAGGAAAGAAGCTGTCTCATAACATAAAAGTGCAAGGTGCAGGAGCAAGTGCTGATGTAGAAGCTGCAGCAAGTTATCCAGAAGATCTAGTTAAGATAATTAATAAAGGTATCTACACTAAACAACAGATCTTCAATGTAGACAAAACAGCCTTATATTGGAAGAAGATGCCATCTAGGACTTCCATAGCTAGGGAGAAGCTAATGACTGGCTTCAAAGCTTCAAAGGACAGGCTGACTCTCTTGTGAGGGGCTAATGCAGCTGGTGACTTTAAGTTGGAGCCAGTGCTCATTTACCATTCCCCAAATCCTAGGGCCCTTAAGTAGATTTATGCTAAATCTACTCTGCCTGTGCTTTACCAATGGAACAACAAAGACTGGATGACAGCATATCTGTTTACATCATGGTTTACTGAATATTTTAAACCCACTATTGAGACCTCCTGCTCAGAAAAAAGATTCCTTTCAAAATTTTACTGTTCATTGACAATGCATCTGTATACCCAAGAGCTCTGATGGAGATGTACAAGGAGATTAATGTTGTTTTCATGGTTACTAACAACATTCATTCTGCTGCCCACTAGTCAAGGAGTAATTTTTATTTTCAAGTCTTATTATTTAAGCGTTAAACACATTTCAGCTCTGGCAAGTGTAGCTCAGTTGGTTAAGTGTCATCCTATGCACCAAAAGGTTGCCAGGTTGATTCTCAGTCAGGTTACATGCCCAGGTTTCAGTTTCTGTCCCCAGTTGGGATGCATATGGGATGCAACCAATCAATGTTTCTCTCTCACCCTCCCTTCCTCTCTCTCTTAAAAAAAAAAAAAAAAAAACACAAAAAAATACTCGTGTAAAATCCCTGTGAAGGTGGGTATCCTGCTGTGATGGTGTGGACATTTGTCAACACAGAACCTTGTCTGCAGACTTCTCCCATCCCTTCACTTGGCAAAAACGACAACATAAGGCCCTTACAACCATTATCTCACTCTCAGGACACACAAAATCAGAGCTTGAAANGTTGAGCATGGACCTAGGATCCAGGCGATCGGGGTTTGATTCCCGGTCAGGGCACATGCCCGGGTTGCGGGCTGCAGCCGATCAATGACTCTCTCATCATTGATGTTTCTATCTCTCTCTCCCTCTCCTTTCCTCTCTCTGAAATCAATAAAAAGATATATTTAAAAAAGAAAAAAAAGAAACTTCTGTTAAAAAACACACACACACACACAAAAAATAAAAAAGGAAACACACCCTAGCCAGTTTGGTTCAGTGGTTAGAGTGTCAGGCCTTGGACTGAAGGGTCCAGGGTTGGATTCCAGCCAAGGGCACATACCTCGGTTGCAGGCTTGATCCCCAGCCCTGCTCAGTGCACATATGAGAGGCAACTAATCAATGTGTCTCTCTCACATTGATGTTTCTCTCTCTCTCTCTCCGCATCTCTCCCTTCCACTCTCTCTAAAAAACAATGGAAAAAATACCCTCGGGTGAGGATAAAAAAAAAAAGAAACACATTTCATAAGTTTATAGCTGCCATAGTTAGTGATTTCTCTGATGGATCTGGGCAAAGTAAATCGAAAACCTGGAAAGGATTCACCATTCTGTATGCCATTAAGAACATTCGTTATTTATGGGAAGAGTCAAAATATCAGCATTAATAGGAGCTTGGAAGAAGAAGTTGATGCCAACACTCATGATGAGTTTGAGGGGTTCAGAACTTCAGTGGAGGAAGTAACTGCAGATGTGGTGGAAAAAGCAAGAGAACTAGAATTAGTGGAGCCCGAAGATGTGACTGAATTGTTGAAATCTCATAATAAAACAAGTGAGGAGTTGCTTCTTACAGATGAGCAAATAAAGTGGTATCTTGAGATGGAATCTACTCCTGGTGAAGATGTTGAAATGACAACAAGGGATTTAGAATATTACATAATCTTAGTTGATAAAGCAACAGCAGGGTTTGAGAGGATTGACTCCAATTTTGAAAGAAGTTCTACTGTGGGTAAACACAGTAGAACAACATCAAACAGCATCATATGCTATAGAGAAATCGTTTGTGAAAGATAAATCAGTCAATGTGTTGAACTTCATTGTTGTCTTATTTTAAGAAATTGGCATAGCCACCCCAACCTTCAGCAACCACCATCCTGATCAGTCAGCAGCCATCAACACTGAGTCAAAACCTTCCACCAGTAAAAAGATTATGATTTGCTGAGGGCTCAGATGAAGCTTAGCATTTTTTAGCAATAAAGTATTTTCTCATTAAGGTATGTACAGTACATGATTTTTAAAGGACATAATGCTGTTACACGTTTAATAGACTACAGTATAGTGAAAACATAACTTTTATATGCACTGGGAAACCAGAAAATTTGTGTGACTCGCTTTATTGTGATACTCACTGTATTGCAGTGGTCTAGAACTGAATGAACCAGCAGTATCTCTGAGGAATGCCTGTACTGATAAAGATAGGGAAATACCTGCTTTAATGTATTTTAGCTTGAGTAAAGATTTTTTTTAAATTTTTTAATTTTAATTTTAATTAAACAAAAATCTTTATTGATTTCAGAGAGAGGAAGAGAGAGGGAGGGAGAGAGATAGAAACATCAATGATGAGAGGGTCATTGACTGGCTGCCTCCTGCAAAACCCCTACTGGGGATCAAGCCCACAACCCGGGCATGTGCCCCGACTGGGAATTGAACCACGATCTCCTGGATCCTAGATCGATGCTCAACTGCTGAGCCATGTCCTGCCGGGCAAGATTTTTATTTTGAAGTTTGCTAGAGGTCAGAGGCATGAAATATAAGAGGCACATTTCACATTAATTAAGATTCTTTAGGGAGAAGATTTCCCTCTTTAATATTTATGGTTCTCTTTTCTTCTGTTACTAATCCAATTCCTCACCACCACCCAAACCAGAGAGAGAGAGAGAGAAACCTGGAGATAAAACTAGTATTTTAAAGTAATTCCTAATAGATTTATACTATCAAGTGCTTTAAGCCAAGGGAGAACTGGAATATTAGTGTGATATAGTAAAATGCACTATCTTATAGGTAATTATGCAAATTTAGAGTATAATGAACCAAATGTAAACACTAAAAGTCTGATTAGAGCATAAGGATATAAAATATGCCATGAAGGAATGGATCCATGTTCCAGCCAGTCTGATATTTTGTCTCTAATAGAAGAACCTCAAAGTATTTAGCAGAGTCTGGTTGCCTGTCTTGGTGTCAGTAGTGAAAGATTAGAGGTGTTTCAGCCCCATCCTGGAGTTCTTGACCATAATATATTTTTCATTTATTTAAACTTGTAAATAACTTATAATCACCTAAACCCCTAATACCATTATACAGAATTTAATTTTTTACTACCTGACATAATTAGTATTTCATTTCTTTGTCTAAAATTACAATAATTTTCAAGCTCTTGCATGTATGTTGCAGTTCTCATATTCTACAGTTTTATGAATAATCTGTGTTCAGCTTATTTATACCTTCATAATTTGACAAATTTTTAGTATTTCTTCATCATTTTTGAATGGAACCTAGATTTTATTAGTCTTGTCTCATGACACAATTTACTTAAGAGGAATACATTGTGTTGTCTAGCATCCGTGTGATAAAAACATTCCACTATAACAAAGTACCTTTTTTCAAAACCTTTAACAAGCTTATTTTGGCCTCTTATTATTCCTGAAAGGCAGGTAGGACAATTACATATTTATTTATTTATTCTATGGCAGACAGGAATTCCTTTAGTTCTTTTTAATTTATTTTACTTTAACTCTCCTATCAAGTTCATTGCTGTTAAAGTTTGAAATCATTCTTTCCAAGGTGCCAGGATCTTTCTCACTCTTCAGCATCTAAATGTATAATTCTTTTGACCTGTTTCTCACGTCTTCTTGCAGCCATATGTGTCATTGTCTCAGCAGATGGCACCACCTAGTCCAAGCAACAGTACCCCTAACAGCAGCAGTGGGAGCAATGGAAATGACCAGTTGAGCAAAACCAACCTCTATATCCGGGGTTTGCAACCAGGCACTACTGACCAGGATCTTGTCAAGTTGTGTCAATCGTAAGTTGGGGTATGTGTGGGTAGGCTTCCAGGGAAAGTATCGATTTGGCAATACTGGCTTTTTGCCAGATACTCTTATTCTGAAATGCAATATTATTTTACTTCTACCCATTGTCATAAGGTTTCTCAGCAGCCCCTCTTAAAGATAAATTCTACCTGTTACTAATATATAAAACCTTTGTGTTTCTCTGAGGAAAGCCAGGATAAGACTGACCTTTGAAGCCAAGTATATGACTTTGTTTCTAGGAGGTATCTAGAATTGATGTTCTTAGTGGAAAGATTCCTGTCCGTACACCTTGAATAGAAATATTCAGTCAGTATCTCCAAAGGTATTGATTAGAAGGCAGTGAGAGCCGGCTGTGGGGATATAAGTGGGACTAGCTAATTGAATTATATACTTAGAGAGTTTCTGCTTTTAAAGATATTCCCAGTGAACTAGAGGAGCCCTCAAATTAGTGGATAATGAAGGTGGAGAAAGAGGCTGTTACTTTGCATCTAAAGAAACCCCTAAAGACTTTTGGAGTTCTTCAGAGTGGACTTGAGTCATGAGGTGGTGATAACTACTGTGGAATTAGCCCAGCTAAAAATGCCAGAAAAATTGCAAGTGTGCAGAAATGCCAGTTCATTTCCTTTTGGCAGAAAAATATGTTTCAAATAATATAGTTGGGGGAATTATTAGAGGAAAAAGTCTGGGGGTAGGATGGGGACATTAATGAGGAGAAGGAAAATTGTATTTTGGTAAGTGAGTGGTAGAAAGAGAAAAATCAGAATCTTAGATTATGTAAATTACCATTTTAAAAACTTTGTTTTGAAGTATAAGAAGTATATAGAAAAATGCACAAATCATAAGTGTATATACAACAGTGAATTTTCACAAGGTGAACACATCCTTATTGTTACCAGATCAAGAAACAGAACATTACTGACTTTTCAGAGGCCCACCTCTCAGTTACTATCTTTTCCCTACTCTCAAAGGTATCTACAGTGCTGCTATGAACTTGTACATGTCTTTTGGTGCATGCGTGTGCACATTTATGTTGGGTATATACCTAGGAGTAAAACTGCTGACTCATAGGATGTGCATTTGTTCAGCTTTTGTTGATACTGCTAAACAATTTTCTGAAGCGGTTAAACTAATTCAAACTCCCACAACAATATATGTAAGTTCCAGTGTCCCAAATCCTGGAGAGGCAGAACATTTTGCCCACAAAATATAGATGTATGAGGTATCATATGTACTCTACAAATCCCTTACTCTTCTCATGTGGTTTGCACATCATATGGACTTTTTGCTAGCACCAGGCTACACAAACTTAATCTCTAAAGGCTAGATGTCTGTATAAAACTGCTTCCTTTGTCCAGCCAGTGTGGTTCAGTGGTTGAGCATAGCCCTATGATCTAGGAGATCGAGGTTCGATTCCTGGTCAGGGTACATGCCCGGGTTGTGGGCTCGATCCCCAGTGGGAGGTGTGCAGGAGGCAGCTGATCAATGACACTCTCATTATTGATGTTTCTATCTCTCTCTCCCTCTTCCTTCCTCTCTCTGAAATCAATAGAAATATATTAAAAATATAAAATAAAATAAAACTGGTTCCTTTAACTCAGATTACCTTGCTAGAAAAGTATTTAAATGGCACTTAGCCTAGGACTAGTGATGTTTTGGGGTACAGGAAATTGGTAGAAATGTTGATTTATGAGGGAAAAGAGTACCATATCAGTCTAATCCCTTCATTCTGCACCATGTGTTTCTTGTTCTAGATGTATTGTTCTACAAAAATCCTCTTACTCCACAAGACAAAGGAAAACTCAGTTCTACTTCACCATACTTTTAGACATTCATTTTGCCCTTTCCAACAGTTGCCTTACCTTTTGCTGTGTCTGAAGGGATGGAAATAGGGTCAGCATGTAGGATGGAAATAAGGAGTCCAAAAGGAGACTGGAGAAGTGGGAATGAAGCAGGGAGAGCACAGGTGCTAGATGAGTTATGATGAAAGGGAAGCTGAGGAGAGCAGGTGAGTAGAACCCTCATGGATGCTTTTGAGCTGGGAGTTAAACCTTTCTAGGAAGGGAGTTTCCTATGCGTAGAAGGACTTCCTGCCTTTGTCCCAGTTGACTCTCTCAGGGGTGTAGGGGAAGTAAAAGTTGCTGGATCCTGAGCCCTAGTGGGTGGGAAGAAGAGGCATGGAGCCTGGGACTGGAACTCCCGGTTCTCCTGGAGGGGCTCCTTTTGAGGAGGAAGCAGCAGCAGCAGCAGCAGCGAGCAACTCAGCTGTTGCCAGCTGCCGTGGAAATTCTGAGCTCAAAGTCTCAGCCTGCTCAGACCACAGCAAGCTCCACCCTGGGGCCTTGATAGGGATAGCAGCATGTGTGTCCTCTGGCCTAGTCTCTGCAGCTCCTCGTTTGCCTAAATTTGGGAAAGAATCCAAGTATGTAGTCCTAAAGAGCTAGGATCACCACATCTCCCCCACCCCCCATTTTAATGTGTTCTTTTCCCAGCCTCCATGGCATTGCTTAGCTTATTCTTTCTAATCCATTGAGTCACAGAAGCCCCACTAAAAAAGTCAGTGAGAGGTCGCCAAGGAGGAAAACAAATACATCAATCATCCTACAATCTTTAGGGATGAGAAGAATGGTAGGGAAAAAATGCTTCTTTGGGATATTGGTCTTAAATTCAGTCCCTACTAAATGTTTTTAGTTAAATCTTGTACTTCTAACTTTGTTTGTGATATCTATTCTGTCTCTTTAAAATTTTCACCGTTCTAAAATGGAATGTAGAGACTTTTTTGTAGTGGAACACTGCTAATATAATCCCTGACCTGTGACACTCCACTGCTCAGGTTTGGGGAACTCCACATGACTCTGCTGCCAAAGTATGATTTTAAAGAAGTTGAAAAACATGACTGTCATACAAATATAGGTGAACATATGCCAAAGATTTATTCTACTCATTAATGAGGGGCCAGCAGGATGGTAAATGAGTTCAAAGAACATTTGAGGGACTGGGTATTTATAGGTACTGAAAAAAGAATGTTGGGATAAGATTGCTACATTACATACAAAACTGGTTCATGTCCTAATGAACAATAAAACAGTAACCTTTGGGATTATCTTTTCTACTGGACAGAAATTATTTGCATTTCTACTAGATAAAAATCTGTAAGTTAATATGTATCTTTACAAAGTCTGGGCCCTGATCAGTAGTAAATAATAAGTGAAACAAAGAAACAACTGGTGAGATAATTAAATATACCGCGAATGGGCCTTTTAGACAATTCTCCAGAATGACAATGAAAGAATATGCAATCCTCATTTTGCCTTATTGTCAAGTTTTGAATAATTTTTTTGATACTGGTGTTGCACCTGGTCTTGTGCCCACTCCCCTCCTGACACATTCAAATCTTGACAATGAGAAATAGAAGTTTTATAATACAGTAAAGCATGAGAGAGAGCCATTTGCAGTAGATTAAATTTGAGGTCACTTGAATATAATAACAATGAGAGCAGTTAAGAATTTTTTTTAAGTGTTTACCATGTGGTAGACATTAGTGCTTTATATTCATGAACTCATTTCATATTCCCAACAATCCTATTTCTATTTTACAGATGGTGAGACTGAGGCACAGATAGGTTAAATGACTTGCCCAAGATCACACATAGCTACAAAGTGGCAGAACCAGGATTTGAACAAAAGGAATTTGGTTCAGGTTGATGTTCAATCAGGGGGCCAACAGAGGGGTAGGGAATCGGATGTCAGAGAAGAGAAATGTCTATCAGTTTTTCATAGGAGGAATGGTGTTTGTCCTAAAGAAGATAACTAATATCAGGGATTATTTTTAGTCCTCAAGGAATTCCAGCCTGAGCTCTGTCTTTACACATTCTGCTATGTGTATGTTGCTAAGCTTCTTTCCTGAAAAGATAGTGGTCTCTTTCCAACTAGTATCTGAGTCTTAGTTGGAGAAGACCAGAGAAATGTGTTAGACTACAGTTACCTTGTTTCTTGTAGGCACCTTTGGGGATTAGGTTTATATAAGTGTGACATTTTAAATTCATCTCTTCTTTGTTTTTATTAAGATTTGGGTAGGATCAGTTGTCCTAGTGGGAGTGGAGAAAGAACAAGGATTCACCAGATGTTTCATTCTCGGTCCTTTTTTATATCCCTGCCCCTAGATTATCACTTTATGTTTTCTTCTCCCTTAGATATGGCAAGATTGTCTCCACTAAGGCCATACTGGACAAGACCACAAACAAATGCAAAGGTGAGAAAACAGCTATCCTTGGTGGTGATGGAGAGCAGCTGTGAGGGAGCCCCTCCCTTATCTCTGCCATTTACCGCTTAAAGTTCCTAGGACCCAAGGCCAGAGAGAAATCTCAGAGATTTTCAGGTTTAAAAGACTAACAGAGCCCTGGCCAGGTAACTCAGTTGGTTAGAGCATCCGTTCTGACAGGCCAAGGTTGTGGGTTTGATTCCTTGTCAGGCACATCATACAAGAGTCAACCAATGAATACATAGGTAAGGAGAACACCAAATCGATGTTTCTCCCCCCCCCTAAAAATCAGTCAATCAATACAAATGTTTTAAGACTAGCAGATATTTAGATTCTTTGAGGACCAGGTAGCTAGAGCTGCAAATCCTCTTTTGGGGACTCAAGGCTAGAAGTCTGCACAAAGAGTCTTAGAGTCCCTTGGGCTTACTTTGGACCTCATGTTTCCCTGGATTGGATGGTGGATATGGGTAGGTGAGATTAGTTCTCCTTAGCAAAGCATTGTAAATGCTTTCTGGTAGTGGGGGTGGGGGTGCGATGACTTAATAGGTATTATTTTGTGAGAATTAATAGTTTTGTTGGGGTTTTGAGCAGTTTTAGGTAGAGATGTAAGAGTTGAAGGAGGGGAAAAGGGTGTAGGTTGGAGTGGGGAAGGATTTCTTCCAGCAGGTGGCTGGTTATCTGCATGAAGAGGCTATATTCCCTACATGCCTAGCATTTCTGCTGTGTGGCTGGAAAAGAGGAAGGGTTTTTTTTAGAAGAGGAGGGGATGCTGTAGATTATTAGAAGAGCCTAGTTCCTGAAGCCTCAGATTTTTTAAGAGGGAGGGAGGAAGGCAACAACACCACAAGGACCTTATTGCCCTTGGCATTCTTAGCTTTAAAGTAGATCAGATCTCACAGGGTCTGAGAAGCACATGGATAATCCCCTGAAACCTCTTAATTTCTCTTCCTCTCTACCACTTCTATTACATGGATCACAACTCTTCCTCTGTCTCCTGAAAAGCCTGAGCCTCCTACCTCCCTTATACTCCCACCTCCCAGTGATGCTGTTTCCGTTCCAGGCTATGGCTTTGTGGACTTTGACAGTCCTTCAGCCGCACAGAAGGCTGTAACAGCACTGAAAGCCAGTGGTGTCCAGGCACAGATGGCAAAGGTAAGGGTACTGCCATGTCTCGTCCCCTGAGGGCTTGTGGTTAGCAACAAGATCCAGTTCCAGGGTTCCCAGAGGGTTTAAGAACCAAGAAGTTGATGGGCAAAGGCTACCTGCAGTGATTTTTTACTATATCTGGCCAAAGATGGTCTGGGCTAGGGACCCATTTAGCACCCCTTGGCTGCTAGAGAAAGATAGTATTCAACATCTGTAGCAGGTAGCTCTGTCAACTCTTTTCCTTTCATCAAGAGGGTCGGGTCCAGAGACTTCTCCCCTTCCTCCTGCTGTTTCCCCATTCCCACCCTGGCCCATCACTTCCCTACCAGACAGCTTGTGGTAGTTTTGAACATTCTCTGAAAAAGTCAGTTGTGTATCTCAGAAGTTCACAACAATGCTCTCCACCTCCCAACGCTGTTCCCTGGGGGTGGGGTGGTTATGTGTTGGGAGTGTGGGGGAGAGGGAAGGAAGCTGTTCCTCCTTTTCAGATCTGTCTTGAGCTTTTATTTTCATCTAAACTATTAGGAATCTAGAGGCTTTTTTCTCCCTTGATCTCTTACGTGGGATTGCCCTTTTGCCTTTCTGAAGTTGTTGTGAACACTGCGTAGAGCTAATGAGGCAGGTCTGCCAACCACCTTTTCTATAATTAAAGAAAATGGAAGTCCTGAAGGGAAAGGCAGAAGAGGGATTAAGGTTGCTGGTGACGCACAGTCTAAGGCAGAGTGACTGCTTAAATTCTTAAAAATACAGCTATGGGAAGTTATAGCCATTGTATATGATCTGACCATTGGAAGGGCTCTCCCGCCTCTTCTTTCTGTAGAAAAGCCTGACAGTGGAGTTCAGGAATCTGCAGAGTTCCTATGAGACTAGAGCTTTCCATGCTCCCTGGTGACTCAGTGAGCTGTACATGTGCCCCTTAGTGCAGCCCCCAGCACATTGCCTTCCCTTTCCCCTTCTCCCCTCTCTCCCCTCTTCCTGCTTTCCCTCCATCAGGGAGTGAACAGGCATTCCCACTCAGAGTCTGCTGTGGCCGGAAGAGGGGGGGAGGGAGGATTACTCAAAACAATCCAGCCAGGGAACAAGGCAGTCCAAGAGAATCCAGCCTCTGGGACAGGCTGCTGGAGCGAGGGGGGAGTGCTGCTCTGCCGGGTTCTTAAAGAGACAGCCAAAACTTTATCAATTACTTGTACAGTACTAGTAACATTAAATCTGCTTTTTTTTTTTTTTGGCCTGGACTCAATGTACAATCCACAGTAGTGAGATTAGGTGTTTGTTACAAATACTTAAGATTCTCTTTGTTTAGCCTGGCCAGTGTGGCTCAGTGGTTGAGTATTACCTATGATCCAGGAGATCACAGTTCGATTCCCAGTCAGGGCACATGCCCATTCCCCAGTATGGGGCGTTCAGTATGTGGCCTGCAGGAGGCAGCCAATCACTGACTTTCTCATCATTGATGTTTCTCTCTCTCTCCCTCTCTCTTCCTCTCTCTGAAATCAATAAAGACATATTAAAAAAAAAAAAATTCTCTTTGTCTGAGATGTCATTTTGTGGATGAAGGCTAGTAATGGGAGAGGGATACGAGATATGAGCTTCATTTTCTCTCCTTTATTTCCATAGCAACAGGAGCAGGACCCCACAAATTTATACATATCAAACCTCCCACTGTCAATGGATGAGCAAGAACTGGAGGGAATGCTGAAGCCCTTTGGCCAGGTTATCTCCACTCGAATCCTTCGAGACACCAGTGGGACCAGCAGAGGGGTTGGCTTTGCAAGGTGAGGGATGCTAAGAATGGGAAATGATGAGGTTAAAAAAGAATGTCACTTAGGCCCTGGATGGTGTTGCTCAGTGGTTAGAATGTCGGCCTGAGCACCAAAGAGCTGCAGGTTCCATTCCCCATCAAGGGCATGTACCTGGGTTGCAGGTTCGATCCCTAGCCCCAGTCAGGGGATGTGCAGGAGGCAGCCGATCAATGTGCCTCTCTCACATCAGTGTTTCTCTCTCTGTGTTTCTCTCTCTCTTCTCCCCCCTTCCACTCTCTCTAAAAATATCAATGGGACAAATATTCTCGATTGAAAAGTATCCTCGGGTGAGGATTAACAACAACAACAAAGAATGTCACTTAGAAGGTTAGGGGAAAAAATCTTTGCCCTCCCCCCCCATAAGGGACCAAACTATTGGCTAAAATTAAATGAACTTTTGATTTAAATGAACTTTTGTACTTGAACTAATGTACTTGACAGTAAATCAAAAGTTCATTTAATTATAGGCCACAATACTCACAAATCCATTTGCCCCGAAATCTTTATACTTTCCCTACTACTTCCTGCTACTCTAGCCTTTGTTCCTTTGATTTAGACCCAACCAGAATAAAATAATGTATCTTTTTATAGTTTACTGAGTAGTTTCTCATCCTATTATCTCATTTAATAATTACTACAACCCTGTGAAGTATTAATTCTCCATTTTATAGATAAGGAAACCAAGGTTCCCAATATGAAGTGATTTGTTCAAGATGTCACAGGAATGGGTGGTAGAAGCAGAGCCCTAATACTTCTGGCTTCAAGATCACTTAGAATGAAGTGGAAGATTTGGTCTACCTTTTAGATTCGTTGAGAGACTTAGATTGTAGAACCAACTCTGCCATTAACTGTCCATGTGATATTAGACCTTTATGAGTCTTGGTTGACTTTGTGGAGATTGATTTACCTGAGTGACTTTCTTAAGGTGTTCCCTAGAGCTGCAGAGCTCTCCAGGGTGCCCTCGTCTGAGCTTAGGTGTCGTTGTAGAGCGTCAGCTCCCCCTGTCCCACTTAAGAAATTGTTCTGCTTTCATTTATCTTAAGATTTTGTTTGAAAGGAGATTCTGGTTTTTTGTTCTTTTAGTTTTTTAAAAAAATGTATCTTTATTGATTTCAGAGAGAGGAAGGGAGAGGGAGAGAGAGAGATAGAAACATCAATGATAAGAGAGTCGTCATTGATCGGCTGCCTCCTTCACACCCCCAACAGGAAAGAGGAATCGGGCTTCTCTAGCCAATTCACTCTTGGTAGTACCACCTGCTGGCAATGCCAAGTATAACTAAAGAAGTTCCTAGCCTTGTGGTCATCAAACATTTTTGCTCCCATACTCTCTGAAAGCGGAGGTTCCCAACCTGTTTCAGGTCATGGCACTGCAATTGTATTATTAATTTTTTTCCTAAGACCAAAAAACACACCCACTTAACAGTTCAATTTATTAAGTAATTTAATGGTCTAAACAACTCAAAAAGTGTTCATATCTTAGCAATTTTATAGCTATTTGAGAAAATATATTGAAAGAGAAAATATTTTTTGTCCTGACTGGTGTGGTTCAGTGGTTAGAGCAGCGGCCAGTGCACCAGTCGGGGCACATGTGAGAGGCAACCAGTTGATGTGTCTCTCTCACATTGATATTTCTCTCTCTCTCCCTGTTCCTTCCTCCCTTCCACTCTCTCTGAAAAGCAATAGAAAAAAATATCCTCAGGTGAGGATTAACACACACACACAAAAAGAGAGAGATAAAATACTTTTTAAAAAAAAATAAATCTTTATTGATTTCAGAGAGAGGAAGTGAGAGGGAAAGAGAGAGATAGAAACATCAATGATGAGAGAGTTATTGACTGGCTGCCTCCTGCACGTCCCCGACTGGGGATCGAGCCCGCAACCTGGGCATGTGCCCCAACCAGGAATCAAACCGCAGTCTCCTGGATCCTAGGTGAGATACAATACTTTTATTTCATCCTTAAATGACTATACTTACTAATGGGATATGTACCTGTTGGAGACTAAACAACTTGTCAAACCTTGGAGTCAGATTGGACAGTACATTCTCATTTCCTGTTATACATTGTTTTTCTTAATGGTACTTGCTTTTGTCATAGCAACAATTGGAAAACCAGCTTTGCAAAAATATGTTATCAAAAGGATTGCAGGGTGATCTGTTGCTGAAATGGTGAACTATTTGGAATTAGTTGTCCACACAGCATCCAACAGATGTTGCTGTGTTTTCTTCAGAAAGTTAAAGTGTTCCTTGCTGTGTTTCTGCAAATATACCACAATGGCCCAGGGTGTCTCAGAGCCCAGTTTGGGAACTGTGGCTTTAAAGACTTGAAAAACTATGAAATCTCTTCCATTTTTCTACATTAATAACTACAAATTTCCTTGATATATTAGGTTCTTGCTAAGTATGATTTCTGGCAAATTATAAACATGGATATTTTAAATCAAAATTTCATATCATTTTTCAGTGTATCCAAAAGAGATCTAAATGTCATAGCAATTTGATATACAGAATCATCCATTTTGAAAATACATAAGGCTTTTTTTTTCTTCTTTCTTTCTAAAAAATTTTGTTGTTGTTGTTAATCTTCACCTGAGGATATATTTTTTTTCCATTGCTTTTCTGAAAGAGTGGAATGGAGGGAGGGGGAAGAGAGAAAAACATCAATGTGAGAGAGAAACATCAATTGGCTGCCTCCTGTACACCCCCTCCTGGAGACCACGCCCACAACCTGGGCATGTGCCGTGATCCGTGATCTGGAATCGGCAGGCAGCCTTTTGATGCACAGGACAACGCCAAACCAACTGAGCCATACCAACCAGGGCAGGAATGGAAGCAGTTTTGTTAAAGTAGGAATTCTTTGAATTCCTTTTGAATCATTTGTCAAGAACCAGGGTAATCTATCATCAAAACTGATTTTTTTATTGTGTCAATTGTCAATGTGCTGAGTCCTCCAGCTTATGTTGGAAGGAAGAATTGGGAGCATCTAACTGACAAAAAGATTTGTAACTCAGTCATCACTGCCTTGTGTTGAGTTTTGGGATGAGTGTGAAGTAAATTGAGAGGAGTGACTGTGAGAGGGTACTTTAGCTTTGATCATTAGTGATCTTGACCAATCCCGCAGGCAGATCAGTTCTGGGAAAGAGTTTATGGAGAATCTGAGGTTTTGGAAGTGATTCTCTTGAAACTGTCTATGCCTGCTCACCCTTTTGGAAAGACTAAGGAATAGGAGTAACCCAACTAAAGACTTCTGCTCTAGGATACCTAATGTGGTTTCCCCTAAAACATTCCAGTTGAGACCTTCCTTCATAGGAATGGTTTATATTTTTATTGGCTATTGGCATAGAAAATATAGTGAGACTTACTATAAATATGGAAAGAGAGCAAGATACCATATCTTATCTTATATGGACTCTTACAATTTTTAGAACACATTTATATAGATTATCTTATTTGATCTATACAATCCTGTGTTGTAGGGTAGATGGATCTTTTCTCTGAAGCGGAAAAGAGGAATGTGTCCAGAGGGTTTGGTGCATGTCCTAACTCACAGAGCTTTGGGAAGTGAACAGGAGGTAGAGCCTAGATTTTCTGATTCCTTACACAGTCCTCTTTCCTCAACAAGATACTTTAACTCAGTGGTTCCCAACATTGTTTTTTCTATCACTATGAACCCTAACCCTGTCTTATTACTGTTTCCTCCTACAGACTCATGAAATTTTAATGATGTGAAGTAGCTAATTAGACCTTGATAAATAACCAGAAGCAAAAATATAAATATTGGCAGATTCTTAGCTTGTGTAGTTTTATCAGAATGAGGGCACAATTTCCATTAGGAATTTTGTAATGAAAAGTAATAGTATCACCCTAGTCAGTTTTGCTCAGTGGTTAGAGCATTGGCCTGTGGACTGAAGGGTCCTGGGTTCGATTTCAGCCAAGGGCACATACCTCGGTTGTAGGCTCACCCCCTGGCCCTAGTGGGGCTCGTGCAAGAGGAAGCCAATCAATGGTCTCTCTCACATCAGTGTTTCTCTCTCTCTCTCCTCCTTCCACTCTCTGAAAAGCAATGGAAAAAATATCCTTGGGTGATGATTTAAAAAAAAGTTATATAAAAAAAAAGTTATAGTATCAGCCTCTATTTATTGTATTCTTATTTATGAACCAGACACTATATTAGGCCCTTCCATCAGTATCCTCTTTGGAATACATGTTCATAGCTTAAAGACCTCCCTTATTCCTTTCAGGACCCCTTCAGGAGCCAGTTGAGAGAACCTTCATTAGAAGCTGGGGTTGCCTCTTATTGATACTTGAATTTGTGTGGAGGAAACTCTGTGTTTCTGTAGTCATAAGTTTTAGAGCATTTGTGGGGCTTGGAACTTAGGGCATTCTTTTTGAATATAGGGAGAGCACAGATCCTGGAGAAGCTAGAGCCTAACCCCTCTTGTGCTCCTCAGGATGGAGTCCACAGAGAAGTGTGAAGCCATCATCACCCACTTTAATGGAAAATATATTAAGACACCCCCTGGAGTACCAGGTGAGGCATCTGGGAATCAGGCTGAGAGGGCCACAGGTGGTTACTTCCAGTGAAGATTCTGGAGGAGTTTTGTATGAGTGCGAGTGGGCTAGGTGAGGTGGGACTCAGCCACCTGTCTGCTTTCTCTCTTGGTAGCCCCATCTGATCCGTTGCTTTGCAAATTTGCTGACGGTGGTCCAAAGAAACGACAGAACCAAGGAAAATTTGTGCAAAATGGAAGGGCCTGGCCAAGGAATGGTGACATGGTAAGAGGACCTCTGAGGAGACAGGAGTACTAAGGATATTAAAATGGAAGGGAAATTACCACGGCTTGATTTCTGTGAGCTTAGGAGGCAAGCTTAAGAGCTACAGTTTGTAACTGAGAGAAGCTGGCTGCTTAACATACTATTCAGTGTGGGTCTTGAGTGGCATTTTGCAGCCTGCACAGCCAGAAAAACTGTGGAACAGTTTGTCCAGACTTTGCTTTAATCAGCTGAACCAGTTACATCTCCACCCTTGACATTTGGGGCTTGCTCTGCTCTAATCCAAGGGCTGACAATATGAACGCCATGTTCTTTCTTTATAGGGTGGTATGGCCTTGACCTATGATCCCACTACAGCTCTTCAGAATGGGTAAGGGTGTTTCATATAATCAGGTCAACTGAAAATGACAACAACCTGTGTCCAAGATGTTTCATCTTGATTTTTGAACAGCACTTAGCGGGAAGTGGCAGTGTCTATCAATGGGGGCCCTTTCTGATTTCCTGTGACACCTTACTGATGAGGTTCCTCCCTGCAGGTTTTACCCAGCTCCTTATAACATCACCCCTAACAGGATGCTTGCTCAGTCTGCACTCTCCCCGTATCTTCCATCTCCTGTATCTTCGTATCAGGTATGTTCATGCCCAAAAAGGTGTGATGGTTTTCCCTGTCATTGTGTTTTAGGTAAAGGAATATAAGGTGGATACTATTTGTTGTTGTTTTGTTTTTCCTTTTTACATATTACACAAATAACTTTATGTGAAAGCATAATGTGATCACATTACATATATATATAGACTGGTGTAGGAGCATCCTCTTACTGTCTGTCTGCTACCCCACAAGTAAATCCATGTTAATTTTCTATTTTTCTTCATGTGCATATGTACATATGTATATAGTTTTTGGAAGTCATTGTTTATTTTACAAAGAAATTCACCATATTATATATATTTTTTATACTTTACTCTTCTCATTTAACGGTATCTTAAACCAGTGATTCTCAAAGTGTAGTCCCTGGGCCAGCAGTATCAGCATCACCTGGGAATTTTTATTTTATTTTATTTTATTTTATTATTTTATTTTATATTTTATTTTATTTTATTTTATTGTTTTTTAAGTATATCTTTATTGATTTCAGAGAGAGGAAGGGAGAGGGAGAGGGAGAGGGAGAGAGAGAAACATCAATGATGAGAGAGTCATCATTGATTGGCTGCCTCCTGCATGCACACACCACCACCACCACCACCCCTGACTGGGGATCGAGCCTGCAACCCAGGCATGTGTCCTGACTGGGAATCAAACCATGATCTCCTGGATCCTAGGTCAATGCTCAACCGCTGAGCCACGCCCAGCCGGGCCACCTGGGAATTTTTAGAAACACAAGTTCTTGGACTCCACTCAAGATCTATTGAGTTAGAAACTGGTGATGGGTCCCAGCAATCTGAGTGATTCTCAGAAGCCCTCTTGGTGATTCTGATGCAGCTAATATTGAGATCTCTGTTCTAATTATTTCCTTTTTTAATAGTTGCATTATATTTCATGCTGGAGATACACCAGAATTCTTCACCTATACCCTAGTGAAGGTCATTCACTTGGATTTCTCTGTTTTTCTGTTAGAAATAATGCTTCAGTAAACATCCTTGTGAGTAAACATCCTTGTGCCTCTATCCTATATATATATGAGTACTTTTATTTCTAGGGACTGGAGTCTGAGGAGTAGGATTGCTAGTTTGAATTTATGAACTTTCAATTTTATAAATGTTGCCAGATTGCTTTTCACCAAGGCTGTTTCAATTCATGTTTCCAGTAGCAGTGCATGAGAGTACCTGTTTCCCTCCAGCCATAGATGACATTGTTCTTTTAAAATTTTTCCTGTCTTGATGGGTGTAACGTGCATTATGACTTTAATATGCACTTCCCTGGCTGTAGCATTTTTAAATGTTTGTCATATCCTGATTTGCTCTTCTCTGATTGTTCTTCATATGTTTGGTCCATTTTTCTGTTTGGTTAATTGTTCTTTTCTCATCAACTTATAAAAACTATTTGTATATTATAAATATTGATCCTCTGAATGTTATCTTTGTTACAAATGGTTTTTTCCAAATTTAATTTTTGTCATTGACTTTGTGATCCTCAAACTTCAGCTGTGCATCAGAATAACTTGAAGAGCTTGTTAAACCTAGGTTACTGGACACCACACCAACACTTTCTGACTCAGTAAGTCTAGATGGGGAGGCAAGACTTTGTATTTCTAACAAGTTCCCAGATGCTGCTACTGCTAGTGCTGCTCATCCAAGGATTTCCATCCATTGGAAATCACCAGCTTTTGCCATATAAAAGTTTAAAATCTGAATATAGTCAAATATGTTTGCTTCTTCACTTACAACTTTTGAATTTCTTGCCTAAATTCAAAAGATCTTCCTAGTCCCTATATTGTACATACAGTCTCCAAGATTTACTTCATTGTTTTATATGTAAATATGTAATCATCAGGAATTAATTTTTGTACATGGTAGAAAATAGGAGTCCTATTATATTTTCTTTCAAAATGTTAACCAGTTGTCCTAGCATCGAAATGCCACCTTTGTCACATAATAAATACTGGAATTTATTTCTATATTCTTTACTCTTTCCCAGTGATCATTGTTTTTGTTCCTTTTCCAATAATATATTGATTTGATCACAGTGGCTTTTATAATACGTACTAATATTTGATAAGACAAAATCTTATCTACTCTTTTTCATACTTAGCTCTTTTTTTTTTTTGCATTTATTCTTCTGTATAAAGTTTATGGTCATTTTATCTAATTTTTAAAAATCTGTGAGGATTTTAATTGGAATTACATCACATATATATATATGTTTAAGAGAACATTTTTTAAAGTACTAGCCTTTTCACCCTTTGGTATTCCTTTTCATGTTTTTAGATCTTATTTATGTCCCTGAATAAGATTTTCGTTTTGTGTATGTAGGTCTTATGCTTTTCTTGTTAAATATATTCCTGTGTTCTATAATTTTATAAGCATTTCTAGATACACTTATTAATACACTGAGAAAAAGCTATTGATTTATGTTCATCTACTTAGTATGCAGCTAACTTACCAAGTCTTATTATTACTACTAGCATTTTTTTCCTTGAGTCTCTTAGGTTTTCTAGGTATACAGTTATATCATCAGTGCAAAATAATAGTTTCTCTTCCTTTCAAATTTTATGCCAATTGTGCTCTTATCTAATTGCATTTATTTAACCTTACTATAAGATAGGTTACTATAATTGCAATGGTTTTAATATTACTCTGTTTAGGTTAATGTTAGCGGCTAGTTTTTGGTAATAATATTTAATATATGTAACTAGTTTCTTTCTAGTCCCTTTGTGATTTAAAAAAATAAATGGCTGCTGAATTTTATCAAATGTCTTTCCAGCATCTAGAATTATACTATGGCTTTTTTCTTCAATTTTGACTTATGTGTTTCTTGACCAACCCTTACATTTATGGAATAAACCGTACTTATTTATTAAGGTGCATTTCTAACTTCTCATTGCTAATTTTTTTTTTTTTCATTTTAAAGTTGAGATATAATTCACATACCATAAAATTCACCCTCTTAAAGTGTACAAATCAGTAGTTTTTAGTATATTTACAGTTACACAACTATCACCATTATCCAATTCCAGAACATTTTCATCCCCTCAGAGAAACTCTGTACCCATTAGGAGTCATTCTCCATCCTTCCTTACTTCTAGCCCCTGGTAACCACTAATATACTTTCTGTGTCTATAGATTTGCCTATTCTAGACACTTTGTAATAAATGGAAGCATACAATATACTTGTGCCTGGCTTCTTTCAGTTAGCATGTTTTCAAGGTTTATCCATGCTGTAGCATGTATCAGTACTTCATTCCTATTTATGACTGAGTCATATTCCATTGTATGGATAACACTTCATTTTGTTACTCATTTATCAGTTGATGGCCATTTGAGTTGTTTCCACCTATGGGCTGTTATGAATAATGCTGCCATGAACCTTTGTGTACAGTTTTTGTGTGGACATGTGTTTTCATTTTTCTTGAATATATACCTAGGAGTGGAATTGCTGGGTTACCCAGTAACTGTTTTTTGAGGAACCACCAAACTGTTTTCCAAAGCTGCTGAACATTTTATGTTCCCACTTGCAGTATATAACACTTGCTATTCTGTCCTTTTTTAAAAAAAATTGATTTTAATTTGTTGATTTTAGAGAGGAAGGGGGAGGGACAGAGAGAGAGAAACCGATGTGAGAGGAAAACACCAATCAGCTGCCTCCTGCATGCACCCTGACCGGGGGTCAAGCCTGCAACCTGGGCATGTGCTCTGACTAGGAATCGAACCTGTGACCCACAGTCACTGCTCCAACCAACTGAGCCACACTGGCCAGGACTGTTTTATCCTTTTAATTGTAGTCATCCTAGTGGGTGTGAGGTGTTTTAGATTTGCATTTCCCTCTTGGTTAATGATTTTGCACCTCTTTCATGAGCTTATTGGCCATTTGTATATCTTCTTAGAGAAATACTTATTTAAATCCTTTGCCCATTTTTATTTTTATTTTATTTTTTCAATTTTATATAAAATCAAGCACTATTTAATTTAGTTTATTTTTTAATAAAAAATACAATAGTATCAGCTATGTTCTGATTTCCCTGGTGCAGCATCAACATCAGTGACAAACCTTCACATGCATGAGAGGGTCAGGGGCAGAGAATTAAAATGAGGTGTATGTGGCATTCCGAGCCGAGGATGGGGTAAGGAACTTTTGGGGCTTCAGAGGGTCACTGCAGGATGAGAAGAAGAGCAGGTGTTTAATAATTAGTCTTTTGGCCTGCCCAATCAGAAGACAAAAAAAGTTCTCTCTGATAATTCCTGGTTATGGGCAAGGCCTGTAATTCAAGTTCTAAGTAGTTAAAGGGAGAGAGGGGCAGAGGTTTCTCTTGTAGGGTCTTAGTTGTCTTTACTCAAAATCATCTGTATACCACAGAGGCACATCTTGGGGTGACCCATTCTGCACCCCTACACAGGTTAAGCTGTTAGAGTTTCAGCGTCGGGGATGCCCATTTTTAAATTGGGTTGTTTGTTGCAGTGTAAGAGTTGCTAATTTTATTTAAACAGTTTATTCATAATATTTCTATTATCATTTTTTAAAAGCTTTTATATATGTATATATATATTTAAATTTTTTTTGCACTCATTGGTTGATCTTGTATATACCGTGACCGGAGATTGAACCTGTAACCTTGGTGTATAGGGACAATGCTCTAACCAACTGAGCTATCCAGCCAGGGCCAAAGCAGAGTGTGTGTGTGTGTGTGTGTGTGTGTGTGTGTGTGTGT